ACGGGAATGGTTAGCCATACAAAAAAAACCACCTCGGCATGGTGCGAAGCAAAAATCGGAACTATACCTATTGACCTCATTGTAGACACCGGAGCTTCGGGATGTGTAGTCAGCCACGATTTCCTAAAGAAGCACGACATTAAAATCCAACGGAAATCATGCATTACCATGACTGACATTAACGGACTGTCAAAGCAACCTCTCGGAGCAATCGACGACTTCCCAATCACGGTCGACGGAATCGTAATTCCGGCAGAAGTCGACGTAACCGAGGCAAGGACATTCAGTGTGTTGGTTGGCATGGATTGGTTAAAAAAGGTAAACGCCAACATCGACATTAAGAAGGGAATAATGACATGGAGTGAGACGGACAAAAAGCGAAAATTGCCATCAAATACATACATGGTCAAAAGAATCCAGTCATTATCGAATCCGATACTACCGACTCCGAGCTCTCCGATGATGAGTCATCCGAAAGCGAATATGAAATCGAAGAGCAACAGCTAGAAGATCGTAATTTTCTATGCTGGCGTTCCGACGACCTTTGGACTGAAGTTCTAATGCCCAAACGAACGATTGATGAAGTTGATTTCAGAAAAATACCACGCCACATAATCCAGGAAGTACCAAAATATAAAAATGTACAGATATACAAAGAGTGAATTTAAATAAGAAACAATATAATTACCTGGGATGAATATATCCATCTCCAGGTGAAGTTCAACCAAAATTGTTATTTCAATTCTCAGTGAAGATTCGACTGGAAAGGACCAGCTGAGTGTTGGTATCACCAAAAGCTCACGAATACAAGGGAAGAATGTTGAAAATGTTACCAGGAACTGGTCGTCTGGATCAACGTAAAGCTTCGGACTCCTGATAAACTTTCCACAATAATCGAAGAAGGCTCATCCAAGGATTGGTGGATAGAAACAGAGTACCAACGACTCTCCAATAGTATCCTCCCCACCAAAACTAAATTCCAAATCCAAGAGGCCGCTCTCGCCTACCTACAATATGAAAAACGAATCACTCGGTGCCATGGTTGTAACTACTATGTCGATGAGTTAATGACAGGGATGGTGTTCGAACAAAATGAATCCAAGAACTTATATTGCGAGGATTGCATTCAAAAAGGAAAGCTCAACTTATCCGTCTGTGCTCAATGTGGATCTCGTACCCCCGCAACCGAAATGTATGGTATTGGTGGATATATTCTGACGAGATATTTTTGCTCTTATCTGGAGCAATGTGTCTACGCATTCGATCACGACAGCTGGAGAAAGAATAGTGACACGATTCGAAAACTACGTGAAGAAGAAAACCTACTCACTGTGTACCATGAGTGTAATGAAATTGGAAAAGCGATTCTATCTCGTTACATCACTGAATATGATGTAGAAAGTGAAATGCAATATATTGGCTACGACGGATCCGAAAAAGCCTCTGCGGCTGAAATCTTCACATCGATCTACCAACAACTGTCTCCAACACGACGTCTGCAATTGGTCCGATTAGAATATATCAATGTTAGGCTATGTTCTGGTTGTCTGATTCCATATGGCTTTGAACAGTGCGACGACTGCAGACGAATGTCAGAACCAGTCGAGAGAATCAACAAGAGAAAGGTCAAGTTTAATTTAATGCGTCAGGAAACCAAAAATAAAAACGAAACCAAAGTTAATGACACCCAAGGAGTAGATGAAACCCAATTGCGAGGTCACAAAATCAGGGACATCTTCCACTCAAGTGGTCAATCGACCGGTAAAGGTGCCAGTGAAAGAAATAGCACCAAAGTTCATCAAGAACAAACTAACAATGCAAGAAACATTAATTACCTCATCAAAGTATACGATAACGAAGGAAAGGGAAAGTTGCCTGAATGAGCACATACCACAAATGCCGACTTTGATTTACGATATCCAAACAAACAAGTCATTCGCATTAATCCGAGTCAAACTATCCTAATCGATCTTCACGTTGTCTTTGAGATCCCACCTGGTACTGTCTGTCAACTGATGTCCCGATCCTCTTTGGCAAAGCAAGGGATTGAGATAAAGAGCGGAACGATCGATGCCGGATACACGGGAAACATCAGAGTGCTACTATACAACAACTTGACTCAGCCCTACAACATCCAACTCAATGAACAAATAGTCCAAGCAGTGTTCTTAAAGTTAGCCAAGATCACTGAAATACGAGTCATTCCGACAAAAAAGGAGTTGGGAGAATCGAGTCGAGGAAGCACTGGTTTCAGATCCACAGGCCGCAATGAAATGGAAGCATACTTCCTAGATAAAGATCAAAAAAAGGAGACGATTGAACAAAGAAAATTAACTTCACAACAAATCAACCAACTCAACAAACTCTTAAATACATATCGAGGGATTTTCACCGCCGACATGACCGAGCTAGGACGAATGAATCTAGTGCGACACCAGATTGATACTGGTAATGAAAGACTGATCTGACAAAGAGCTTATCGAGCCACTTTACCGGACCAAGAATTCATCCACGACGAAGTGCAAAGAATGTTGAATGCCGGAATCATATGATGATCCAACAGCCCCTGGGCTTCGCCTGTAGTTATCGTCAATAAAAAGGATGGAAAAAAATGGTTCTGCATTGATTATCGAAAAATCAATAACAATACCAAAAAGAACGCGTATCCCTTACCTAGGATTGATGAAATGTTAGACAATCTGGATCACGCTAAATAGTACTCTTCGCTAGATCTCACCAATGGGTATTGGCAAGTCGGTATGGACGAGCGAAGCATCGAAAAAACTGTCTCCATCTCCAGGGAGAGTCTCTACGAGTTTACTGTGATGCCGTTTGGACTCTGTAACGCTCCTGCGACCTTCCAACGAGCAATGAACGCAATGCTAGATGATTATAACTGGAAATTTACGATGGTCTATATTGATGATATAAATATATATTCTGAAAATTTCGAGGATCACCTGCAACACTTGGAGAAAATGTTTCAACGAATTAGAGCAGCTGGACTCTGATTGAATTTAAAAAAATGCAATTTTGTCAGAAAAAGCCTATCATTCCTGGGTCACATCATCACCGAAGAAGGAATTTCGACCAACCCGTCCACCGTAAAAAGGATCCAAAAATTCCCACAACCGCGTACGGTTAAATCACTTCGTTCATTTCTCGGATTGGCCAGATACTATCAGAAATTCTTAAAGAGTTTTTCCCAGATCGCTGCCTCTCTATTCCACCTACTGAAGACAGACGTTAGATTTATATGGGGAAGAAAACAAGAAGAGACTTTCGAAGAATTA